ATCGAGGCGTTCCGATGACGACGAGGCGCGCGTCGCTGACTCGGCGGGCCCGCAGCTATTTCGCGCCAAAACCGCTTGCTCCCGGGCGCCCCCAGCGCGCTGGGTTTGGCCTGGGTCCGTCGGCGCTGGTTTCGACCCAAGCCAGCGAAAAACGGGCTCCTGGGGACGCTATTGGGCCTTTTTTTCAGCGCCGGCGCGAAAAAAACACCCGGAGGGCCGTGTTGGGGGCGCGGTTGGAGATGCTCTTAGGCTTCTGACTTGTTCTTCAAATTCCTTACCTTTCTGCAGCACTGGCACCCGCTTGCTAGGCAGCACGAAAGAGACCGTCTCGGGACAATGCTGGATGCGCTTGTGGCTACCGCACGTCACTTATCTTCTCCGTAGGGCTGCTCTGCGGCCATAAATTGGTGTTTTCTTTCTTATTGACATGACTAACCTCCGAAGATTTTGATTTTAGGGTCATATATGAATGACAGTACGAGCTTTCCTCTGGTCCTCTGAACGAGCTGCATGCATGTGAGGGCAGCGTGAGGCAGCAGCGTCATTGTAAAACATACACACATATAACAACAAAACTGCTGATGTCAATAAAGAGTTTTTCAAAAAATAAACTTTAAAATGTTTTCTAGCTCAAATTGTCGGTCCCATTAAGAAATCGTTTTCATATAAAAGATTCATCATGACGAGACCTTCAAATCTATATCCCAGGTTGGTATGTTTCGACGATTATTTTTTGGGGTCAAAAGTTATCAGACCAAGGCTAAGTAAGTTATCACGTATGTCGTATGTAAGTTACCATCATGTTTTAGTAGAAATTACCGGAGCATAAAAATGACTCTTTTAACAGTCTCTCCACATGCAAATGCACTAGAGGACAGAAAAAATTGATGTCATCATAGATTCTTAATATTGAAACTTTAAAATATTTAATAGCTCAAATAGTCGTTCGGATTGAAAAATTGGTTTCACATAGGTAATTCATCATGCCGAGACCTTTGGAATTAGATCTCATGTTGGTATATTTCTATGAATTTTTTGGTCAAAAATTACCATGTTAAGTAAGTTATCAGTTATGTTATATGTATATTACCATGTTATTTATGCAAAAGTTACTGGCAGTATTTTTCCAAACAACCTCCTCCCCTATGGTCAAAGTTAGCATAGTATTTGTGTGTGATTTATCAAAGTTTATAGTGCGTATATTACCATGATATTTAAATGAAAGTTATTGAGAAGGCGGGGTATGGTTTCAAACAACTTCTTTCCTCTCCAGGGTGTCGGAGCTAAATCCAGCGAATCTCGGGTAGGGGGTCTCAATCTGGTAGTCTTGGCTAGATGGTTATAACAACACAGGGGACACGATGTTTACCTAGGTTTAGACCCTCTCGAAGAGGTGAAATCCTACGTCCTACTTTGTTGTATTGATCTTGTTGGGGGTACAAAGTAAAGGTGATCTATCACAAGATCGGATGTGAGTGATTTTATCTCCATACGAGACGGTCTATAGGCTAGCCTAGCCTCGGTTTATATAAGAGTACGGGAGGCCTAAGATAACAGGAGTCCTAGTCGACTACGCTAGTGGAGAGGAGTCCTTGTCTTGCAGAATCTCCCTTGCATGCGTTATGGGCTTCCTGAAGTGGCTCGCTAATGAACCGCCATGGTGGTCCTAGGCCAGGTCCTCCTGGTCGGGAGATGGCATGGTGAGTACCCCCTAGTCCAAGACTACGTCATGGTGTCAAAGTTACCACTGTGTTTGTTCGTGAGTTATCAGGTATATGATGCGTACAATACCATGTTATTGCTATGTTTTCAAACAAACCTTCCCTGCCCCTGGGGTCAAAGTTATCGTGTTGTTTATGCGTGAGTTATGCTTTGTTGTGCGTATGCTACCATGTTGTTTATACCGAATTTACCGTGGGTATGTTTTGAACGATTTTTCCCCCGGTCAAAACTTACCGTTGTGTTTGTGCTATAAGTTATCAGGTATGCGGTTTGCATATTTCCATGCTATTTACGGAGAAGTTTCCAGGGCACGCTTTCAACAACTTTTTTCCCCAGGCTATAAAGTTAACATGGTGTTTGGCGATGAGTTATCAACTCTATGGTGCATAAATCACCTTGCTATTTACACAGAAATTACTGGAGGTATGTTTCAACAACTTGTTCCCTCAATTCAAAGTTGCCGTGGGGTTTGCATATAAGTTATCAGGTCGGGAATGTGTGTATTACCATGCTATTTACACAGTGGCCGGGGTATGTTCTCAACGACTTCTTTCCCCCCGGGTAAAAGTTACCGTGGTGTATGTACCAAAGTTATCAGGTGTACGGTGCTTATATTACCATGATACTTATACAAAAAATACTAGGGTTGTGTTTTCAACACTTCTTTTTCCCCAGATCAAAGTTACTGTAGTGTTTGTACCTAACTTCTCAGGTCCGCGGTGCAGATATTACCATCTTATTCAAATAGAAGTTACCGGGGGTATGTTCCAATAACTTTTTGTCTTGGTCAAAGTTACCATGTTGTTTGTACCTATGTTATTACCATGCTATTTACACATAATTTTTTCCAGGGTATTTACACATAAGTTTTTGGTTAAAAAATTAACAATCCCCCTCTGTTAAAAGTTATCATGGTGTTCATACACAAAATATCGGTGCGTATATTATCATGCTATTTTTAGAGGTATGTTTTCACCAAAAACAATTCTACCCGGATACAAGTTAGCTCAGTGTTTGTACCTAAGTTATCATGTATGTGATGTGTGTATTACCATGCTACTTATAAAAAAATATCGGGGTACATTTTCAATAAACTTTTCCTTTGCACGATGTTCGTACATGAGTTAGCAGGTCTGCGGTGGTCGAGGTATGTTTCAACAATTTTTTCTACATAGCAAAAATATCATGATGATTGTACATAAGTTATCATATCTGATTATGTAAATTACCCTCTCATTTACATAGAAGTTATCAGGATATATTTAAGTAACCTATTTTTCGGGTCCAAGTTCATGAAAAACATTAAGAAATTATGCGGTAAACAAAGTCCTAGAAGAAAATGAAGAATTTATTTTATTGATATAGAAATACAGAAGGTTCACGTATCCTATTTCTTTTTATTTGGCAATAACTAAAAAATGGATGAGTTGGTAGTGCGTTGGGTAAATTACTTCCACACACCACAAGGGGCGTAAGTTTTTATGCTTCTACAAGCTCTTTACTTTTCTTTATCTCACCACAGATCTCAGATAATTAGCGTAAAATGGGAACATTCAAATGCTGAATTGCCTTCATACCAACCAACTAGTACTAGTGGATAATATGGCTAGTAGTCTAAAAAAATGGGATTTCATCGATTCCTTGCCCACCTCAGAAAATATCGGGATTGGATCGCTAACGATCCCATGATAAACAAGATTACTACATAGAAATAAGAGGAAATTTAGATAGGCGTACTTTTGGAGTCGGAGGGAGTAATAGTTTGCGACGTACCTTTTATGCCGCAGATAATCTTGGATATTAGTGATGAGGTCCTGTGCATCCAAGCAGGAAGCAGGCTGAGTGACACCCTCAGAAAAAGAAGAAGAAGAAGAAGGAAAGGCGGGCAATTGAATCTGCCATAATATGTTGGTTAGAAGCCTCCTCATGTCCGGGTTGGGAGACACCCGCACAAAAGCCCGGCACTGGAATTGCCCAACGGTCTTGTGGTATACCCTCTTGGCAAGTGTGGTCTTACCCACACCCTCAAGTCCAACAAGAGATACAACCTTGAGCTGCTTCTCCTCGTCCTTACCCAGCATGTCAGCAAGCTCATCCATTCGACCACGATCAATCAGTTCCGGATGGAGAACTGGAAGCCCTCGACCCGTGTATGAAAGTTTAGTGGTCTTGCTGATGCTCTTGTGATTGATTTCGCACCTCTGACGCCTTTTGCTTGCACTCTTGGCTCGGGCCACGAGCATCTTGAATTCAAACTGGGCATTTTCTTGCTTCTCTTGTGGAGTGAGGCCATGATCATCGTCTTGTTTGGAAATAAATGGGGCATCGTTCAAGTAGTTGTTGGTGTCATAGCATAGCTCGCGGACCTCTCTCATCCAGCACTTGGCCGTGGAGTTCAGAGGTTCCTCCGCCTCTGCCTCCGACTGATGCATGAGGGAGACGCATAATCCATGGAGATGCTCAGTGAGCCCCTGAATCTCATCCCCGCTAACCACGTTGTGTAGAGTGGTCAGCTCACGGAGTTGCCGGAGGAGGGGACCAACAGGGCCCAGCGAAGCAGTAACCGGAAAACCCATGGCCGCCTCAAGATCAGGATCCTCCATCTCCATGTGGAGGTCGGAATCAGGAGCATCCATCTTCAATTCGAACTGAAACCTAGCAGAATCATGTCCCTCCTGAACTGAAAGATGGAACGAGACATGGGCAAATTAGTGCCATCTGCCTCGGGATGCGAATAAAAGGTTGAGAGAAGACGCAGAGAAAGAGTATGTCTTACCCGGCGGTAGGCCGAGGCAGAGATCAGCTAGCTCGGCTCTCAATACCCGGGCATGGTGACTGCCGGCGACGGGAAGCTTGTCAAGGGCGGATAGGTTGGTTGGCCGAGGACTAGAGAATGCTTTGGGTTGGCAGGCACGGCAACTGATTTACACTCCAACCACTGAATTTCAGTGAAATCACAAGAGATATGCATAAAAGTGCTCAACTTTACGAAAATAGTGTGTACACTACTTATATTTGCAGCATAACCCCCATTTGTTCTTGCAAATCACACTCTTGACTCGTATGTCACAAACCAGTCCCCCCACCCAATCTCAAGATGTAGTAGTACACTAGTAGATCTGAGCCACAAACAAACGAATGCTCAAGTTATCTTGAACTCTACGAGAGTTGCCACTTCCGAATCAGAACATCAGCCAGCCAAGGAGAGCTAAGCGATTGACCACTAGCCAGCCAATCTCATTGCTATCTGTCGATCCAAAAATAGCACAGAGATTTAGATGGAGGGCATTGCGATAGGTGCCCTCTTCAATAGCATCTTGCCCAAGCTTCTGCAAAAGATTAAAGACTCCAAGCGAGAGAAGATTGCCATCAGTCGTAGCATTGACGATTTCCAGAGGGAGGCTGAAGTGGTGCAGTCTCAACTTGAAGATGGCTACTCCCAGTCCGAGTATGAAGGCAAAGCCAAGCTGATGGGGATCGACCGACGACTCAAAGTCTTGTGTCAAGATACACATGACTGTATACACCGGTTCCTGCGCAAGGGATCTATGGAGAGCTGCGCCGAGTTAGCGGCCAAGATCCAAGGATTCAACGACAACGTCCACAAGCTACACGATGAAGCCCGAGAGTGCATCACTTCATTGAAAGCATCGGCCAAGCCTTCTTATCCGTATGTTCCTCCCGACAAGGTAGTGGACAGGCTTGAACGCCTCGCTGAGCTGCAGGATCTTGTACAGCTACCCAGCAGCCAAGATGCGCCCAAGGTGATCTCCATCCTTGGCTTTGATGGCCTAGGCAAAACTATTCTTGCCAGAAAATTCTATGATAGCACCCAAGCCCACGCGAAATTCCATCATCAGGCCTGGGTTACTGCGGCTGGCACCCATGAGGAGCTTGTCCACAAAATACTCAAGCAGATTGACGTTGAAGGAGACCATGGCCATGTCGAGGACCTCTATGGCCTCTGCGACAGACTGCGGGATTTCCTAAAGGGCAAAGAGTAAGCACCCGTACTTCTTCAATAGGTTAATTATTAAGTTTCTTTGTTTCCTCTTCAAATCTGCATATCTAAATTTTCTATATATATTGTTATATCATTTTTTTTCATTACCAGTTTTTTCAATATTATTCACCTTTAGTTTCCATTAATATGAAAAAACTTATGGCCAACAGTTGGAAGGAATGATTTGCCGTGAGTAATTACCACAGGCTGGTCTTGTATTTATAGTCAGCAGATATACAAGGTACAGAGTTTGTTACAACAAACATTGGCTGGATAGGAACAACTTTATCTCGTGCCAGATAAGCTACAGGAGATACTAACAGAATATAGCTAAACAAACTAACTAGTATCCTGGCTAACTCAATACGATTGCGTTAACACCAACATTTAATTATATCCTGAGAAAGCTTGGTTAAATTTGTGTACACATTTTTTTCCGATAAAGGGGAACACATATTTTCCTATTTGGTATTAAGTTGTCGGCAAAGACCCGCATGTGTGACAATGAAAGCTCAAAACATCGGGGTATATACATGTGACCTCGATGTGCTTATATACTCCTTCTCATCCCTTGATTTTTTTTCACAATTTTTATTTACGATTTTTAGAGAAAAAGTATACAATGGTTAACATTTGAACCTAGTTGTCCATTCCATCCTCTACCTCACCATTGGCCACATTGCAGTTATTTTTTATAAATACCACATCATTCTTGATCCATATCCAGATATGCTTCAATGTCTTCTCATCTTACTCTAATTCTCTGTATCTCTTTCTAATCAAAGTCAACGTAATTATCGATGAATGGTACCAAAGCTGGTAAAATGTTAGGCCACCAACGCCCATCATAACTTGTTATTTTCTGATGGATCCCACGATATTACTATCTCTACTCATCACAAAAACAATATAGCTTTCTATACGATTGTCTTCCCTAGTAGCCAAACATTATTCAAACTAATTGCCAGTATTTTGACATGGAGATAACACACGTTACCTTTATTTTTCCTATTGATTTGTCATGTAGGTACCTAATTGTAATTGATGACATGAAGAGGTGTGAGCTATGGAACGGCATAAAACATGCCTTCGATGATGTGAAGGGCATAGTCCTCGTGACGACGACCATTCAGGCAGTAGCTAATACTTGCAGCCAATGCATTAACGGTTATGTGTACAAGCTGTCACCCCTTGATGAACATGAGTCTTTAGACCTGTTCGAGACAGCGTGTAGTAATGGGGATTCTGGTCATGCGGCAGAAATATTGAAGAAATGTGGTGGTCTACCACTTGCTATACTCAACGTGGCCAATTATTTGCAGCGTGAGGATGTGTTGTCAAGCGCTGGATGTAAAGCTGCTTGTAGGGATCTTGGTGCTCTTCTGGTGCAAGACAATGGGTCCAATTTACCAGGAATGCAACAAGTGCTTATGAATAAATACACCGGTCTGCCTAGTTGTGCTATCAGATCCTGCTTGCTATATTTTTGCATGTACAAGCTAAACATGGATGCACTCCCCAAGAGGAATTCTCTGATAAGGCGATGGCAAGCGGAAGGATTTGTTGATGGAAAAACCGGATCTGAATATTTGAAGACCCTCATCAACCGCAACATCATTCAGACCATGGAGGTAAACACAGACGGAACTACAAAGAGATGCCGACCTCCTGGAATGATGGCCGAGTACATTTCTGAGATTTCCAAGTCCGAGAATTTTGCTGCTTTGGTGTCTGATCTAGAAGAGACGCGAAAGCACCGCATCCGCCGGCTTTCTTTCGATGATGGCAGTGCTGCAGATGACAGAAGAATTTCAGGCATGGATTTTAGTATTGTTCTAACTCTGGCAATTTCAGGAATTGGATCTGAAGCTATTCTGAATTTTGAGAAGTATGAGCTACTGGCAGTTTTGGATCTGAAAGAATGTACAAGTATCAATGATAATCATGTCGAAGCTATATGCATGCTGCTTCTGCTGAAATATTTGAGCCTAGGGAAGACTATAGGGAAGATACCAAGGGCCATTGGTAAACTAGAGCTGTTAGAGATGCTCGAGATGAGGACGACTGAAACAGTATTAGTGCATAGAGAAGTCCTCCAGCTACCCAACTTAAAACACCTCATTGGAAAGTTTCATCTCATCTACAAGCGACCGATTGAGGTCGAAATTTCCAAGGATGAGCGCCTGAAGAAGTTCTTGTCAAATAAGAGTGTCCTAGAGACGGTTACGGCATATGTCAGTCGAACTGCCAAAGGATTTCCGGAGCCGATGCTTCATATGATGCAGTTGAGGAAGGTTAAAATAGTTTGCACTTACGAAGCAGATGACACGGACAAGGAAGTTCTTACAACAGCGATCAAGAAATTCATTCATAGAGGCACGAACAATGTTATTTGTGGCCACAGCCATTCCCTATCAATAAACTTCTATAAATGCACGTCCATCGTTCATGAATGTCTATTAGGTCCCGGCAGTCTTACCTCGCTCAAATTGCGTGGTGATTGGAGACCATTTCTCGGTGCCAATCCAGATTTTACAAACATATCTGGTATTACCAAGATGTGTCTTTCACACACTTATCTGAGCGGGAATAAAGTCCTTGCCGGTCTGACAGGTTTGATAGCACTGGAATATCTGAAACTGGAAGAAGAAGATATGGGGTCCCTTGAGATAGAACCCGAAACTTTCCAAAAGCTGACAGGGTTATGCCTTGTGGGCGAAAAAAGCCTTTACGGCATAACAATCAAGCCTAGAGCTCTGCCCCGACTTGTCTCACTTCACCTGATCTGTCAAGTTATAGATAGGACAGTCCAACTTTTGGATGGAAGACTTGAACGTCTGCGGGAAATCGCACTCCACTCCGGAGTTGCACCAGAAATAAAAGAAGCCTGGAAAAAAGCTGCAAAGCTCCATCCTAACAGGCCCGAAGTTGTTTTCATTCACAAGGCATAAGCACGGTCAGTTTTGTTTACCCTACCTCCTAATGCTTCTTAAAAGCACACTCTTGTATTCTTTTTTAAATCGTATTCTTCAATATTTGTGCAGTGCAAAGTGTTGTATTCATCAAAGGAGCCACTTTTGCCTGCTGCACGGATCAGGGCAACACCGATGTATGCTTCAGTGTTGATATATGTACTGCCCCTCCCCTCATGTGTGCTTGCTTGCTTTTGGTCTTTCATGATCATTTTAACATGTTGTTCACTTTAACTTTCACAAACTACTCTAGTGTTTGTTATTGTTGTTTTTATTGTATCATTTTGTTTTGAGAGAGGAACATAAGCTACAATGACCACTACTAGTTGTTTGTTGTATATGTTTGCATAATTGGAGTGAGATAGGCCGTTCTTTTGTTTTGCGAGAAAACTTTCGATCTATTCATCTATTCATCTTCAACCATTGGTTGAGACAGATCCAAGTCTCTCTCCCGCTCCTTAAAAAATGTAGCCAATTGCACAGCAAGATTACATAGATCAAGTCAAGAGCAGGTAGCCTGTCACACACCATATGGCTGGCCTGCACGCGTCTTACTGCATATAAAACATGTATGATTAGGTCAGGTTAGGTACCCAAACCTAATCTATCAAAACCCTCTAGAATTATAATACAGGGTATGATTAGGGTATGGTTAGGTTGGGTACGCAGTAAGGACAAAACTATGTATGTGATGGATTTCTCACGATGTGCTAATTTCGACAAGCTACAGTGAACACTACTGGTTGTTTGTATTATGAGTTATGTTTGCATAATTGGAGTTCAACACTGGCTTATCGGTATTTTCTGGGGGCCTATCGGTATAATATATCCATTTAAAGCGTATGCAAAGATACCTCGCAAAAAAATGTGTGCAAAGATAATTTGCTTACCGGTTAAACTACTAGCTTAATATATTGAAGTTTCAGGTGTGGATGTGTAACCAGATAGAAGATTTCCAAAATAATCCTTAAAAGTTGGGGTATGGATGGGTAAACCTGCAAATATAAAATGTGTGCATTTGATATGTCGTGGTGTCTTCGCATGCATGCCCTTCCATGTGCATTCGTTGAGACAGATCCAAGTCTCGCTCCTGCTCCTTACAATACGTAGCCAATTGCAGAGCAAAATAACACTGATCAAGTCAAGAGTAGGTAGCCTGGTAGGGGAGATATCTGGTGCTCCGGGAGCACCTAAACTTAGGTGCTCCGGGAGCTTCTCAGCCGTTGGATCTAAAATCCAAAGGCCAAGGAGAGACTTCGTGGATTTATTCAAAAAAAACACCGCCAGAAGTCCGTTATTACAACCAGATCAAGCGCATCCCTAGATGACCGTCAGATTATAGATCCAACGGCTGAGGAGCTCCGGGAGCACCTAAACTTAGGTGCTCCCGTAGCACCTGATATTTTCCCAGGGGAGGATATCTGGTGCTACGGGAGCACCTAAGATTAGGTGCTCCAGGAGCTTTTCAACCGTTAGATCTGAGATCCGAAGGCTGAGGAGAGAGCTCATGCTTTTATTCAAAGAACACCCCCAAAAATTTGGTATTGCAAATCGGGTCCGGTGCATATGTAGATGACCGTTGGATTTCAGATCCAATGGCCGAGAAGCTCTTGGAGCACCTAAACTTAGGTGCTCCCGTAGCACCTGATATTTTCCCATTTTCCCAGGTAGCCTGCACATGTTTTACTGCATATAAAATATGTATGATTACGTTAGGTTAGGGACCCCAACCTATAATCTATCTAAACCCTCTAGTAAAAATATAATACGGGCTATGACTACGGTATGGAGGTTAGGTAGACAGTAAGGACATTACTTTTCATGTCATGGATGGGAACAAGCTACAACGAACAGTACTGATTGTTCGTAGTACAAGCTATCTTTGAATAATTATGGTGGCTGGTAGCTGCCTAATTGGACGCAACGTCCCAAAATGTTAACTTAATGAAGATATTGTCCTGTATAAATTAATAATAAAGGATTCAGTTTTTTTCGGAACATTTGGTTCTATTTTCATTATGTGCCGATGGTTCTGCACAAAGGCCTCATGCCCGGCCCAGTGTGGCTAGCACCGACGGGTTCCACTTAAACGAAATAAGCCTGGTGCGTACTACAGGTTCCCATGTGTATAAGGTCCCTTTTTTTTCTTAGTTTTTTTCTTCCCCGGGGACTTTCATTAGTTTCTTTTTTCCTTTTCCTTTTCCTTTAAATTATTTTTACTTTTTTCCTTTTTAGGTGTTTTCTTTGTTTCTTTTTTTTCACTCTACAATCTTATATTCATGATCAACACTTTTTAAAAAATTGTTCAACATTTTTCAACTAGTTGTTCAAAAGATCAACATTTTTTTAAATACTTCTTCAATATGTTTTCATATACTTGTTCAACATTTTTATATACATTATCAACATTTTTTTCAAATACTTGTTCAACATTTTTTCAAATATTTGTTCAACATTTTTCATATACTTATTCAATATTTTTATATACATAATCAACATTTTTTCAAATACTTGTTCAACATTTTGCAAATACTTGTACAACATTTTTTCAAATATTTCTCCACATATTTCCCAAATACTTGTTCAACATTTTTCAAATCATTATTCAACATTTTCCAAATACTTGTTCAACATTTTCTATATACATGATCAACATTTTCTAATACTTTTTCAACTTTTGTCATATAATTGTTCAACATTTTTTATATACCCCTTCTAAATTTTTTAATAACTGTTCTACAAAATCCAAATATATGTTCAATATATTTAATACTTATTCAACATTTTTCAAATACATGTTCCACATTTTTTATTACTTATTCAACATTTTCTAAATGTGTTTTTGAAGAGCGTTTTTTGTAATATATTACTACCGGGTGTAGCTACACCCATTTCTCATATACTACCATGTGGTTGTATATACTATACTTTATTATTTTTAATATGTTCATATACTATATCTAAGATACTCCAAAGTGAGTTATATGAAAAAATTGCAGGTGAGCTCATGGTTTTATTATATTTGT